GTATGTGCATAGCTAAACCTAGATGTTTTATTTGCCATCCATCTGCCTTTTTTTAATTAGTCATAATTAGGCAAATCGATTACCATTAAGCAAATCGATTCCTCTTAGAAAATAAGGCAATAATTCATTTTCTGTCTTAAATTTTAATTCTTCTGCACCCATCTATTTCTGTCACTCAAAGTGGGGTGGTACTATAAATACGCCTGTTTCGTCTCTAAACATGCAATGATGTGATAGCTGCGTCACTTGCGCCAAACTGCGCCATGAGGTGAAACCTGCTACATCTTGCTAAAATTTTGCATAAATATCATAATTTGAACTTAGCATGCGCTTCGATGTCGTTCTTGCGGTCTCGCAAATCACACACGGTTGGAAAAATTACTTTCAAACCGTGTGTCAATTACCATTATAATTTTGAGTGGTCGTTAGAGCCCGCTGGCTAGTGCTGTGTTGTTCAAATAGTTGCGCAGCCATGCAAAATAATTGAGACTGGCTCATGCTGCGAAAATAAAATTCCATGCTACTACTATACCATACAGCGAGATTGCACTAAGTTTCAGCAAAGTAGTTCTAAAAAATTGTGAACCAAGTTATTTGATTGGTTACATCAGCTACAATGAGTTGCGCATTATGTCTCTGAATATACCATTTAGGTATAGTTCGTCTTTGAAAGAAATGTACAATTTGTTACAATATACTTTTGTATAAGTTTGTGCCAGAATTTTAATTTTCAAGTTTCTCCAAACAGTCGCAATATTATCTACAACTTTACACGCTGCAGTGGAGTGTGGGATTTTGCTGAAAAATAATGGTGTCTCAAAATTTCGGTATTTCTGACCTTTTTTTTTTATCGAGTACGGTGGCCGGGTTTGAAAACTTCATGAAGTTGAACAGAAACCTCCCGTTAACCCTAATTTTTATGAAGCGCAAGTTAAGTTTCGGTAAGGAAAAATTGATCGTTAAAGCTTGTATTTTATCAACCGCCCATGAACCAAGACCTTACCGATTGTCTCCATAAAGCCTAGCAACACTTCGCCACCTAACAAAGCCTTTAGTTTGTACTGATAATACGAATTTCACCAGTGCAACACACCCGGCAAAGTGGGCCGGGTGCGTGACCCAGTCACGTTCCGCAGGGCCAAAATAAAGTTATTTTCTTTCCTTCCTTCCTTTAATTAGTTACTTTGGATAGTAAACAGAATGCATGGAAGGTTTTCTCAGCTTGCGCTTTCAGTACTGCAACTGAAGCACCAGAGAAAGTTACATTAATTTATACATATGTCGTGTATTCCTGGAAATCGCCATGTGGTTTGTGGTTGTGCACGTTTCTAAAGAAACCTGTGGGACTGTCCGCAGAAAAACTATGAGCAGACACTTTATATTCGGGACATTAAAAATAAAATGCACGTATTTGTGCAAAGTTAAGCATGTAGTGCACCTCGTATAGATGTTTAGAAAAACATGTTTAAAAATTTAGAGTACTTGGTACTCTACTATGGGAGAGCAGAAAGCCGTCCCAATTAAAGAGAGCACACAAAGCGAACTCCTGTGTGTTCAGAAAAAAATATTGAACGATTTAGAGTACTTCGTATTACCCTGTGGGAAAGCAGAAAACAATCCTAATGTTTCACAGTGACACATTGACCATTATTTCACTGCACTAATGGAGCGCCATGTTTAGAAAATGTGGTTGACGATTTAGAGTTCTAGGTACTCCAATATGGGCGAGCATAAAGCCGTTCCGTGGGCCTTGAATATAGCAACGCTAATTTGATGAGCTGTGTATAGAAAGAGGGGATGATGATTTATAGTATTTTGTACTCTACTATGGGAAAGCACTAGGCCGTCCTGTGTGCCTCACACTTAATACTATATGAGAAATTGTGTGTTCAGAAAGTGTTTAACGATTTTGAGTTCTCGGTATTTTACTATGAAAGAGCTGAAAGCCATCGCTTGGGACTTGCACTTGATGAGGGTCCTGACAGAACCACGAAGTTTGTGATGTGCTAAAAAACTCTGGAGTGAAGTAGACGATTCTACGAAATAAGTGCCTGTAATAATACGAAGCTGTGCGCATTGCATCGTAAATCGTGGCCTTCTATTTTGTCTTGGTTAACATGTTTTATTTTGTTCTTGTTAATCTTTTGTTCTGCCATATGTTTTTATTGATGGGTAATTAAACGCGGATGTTTTTCTGATGATTTGGACTTTTATTTTGTTTGTTATGGTTAATAGCTACCTGATAACATTTTTTTTTGTTTACGGATGTTTCGGTTTCGATACATCTGCCGTAGACGCCGGACGATGGTTTATGGGGTTGGGACATTGTGCCTTCTGAAGGTGCTTCGCCCCTAGTATTTGCATTTGAGAATGCTTGATAACTGCTTCGATTGGTTGTTGGGCTGCTTCATAAGCTGTGATGAAGGGACTTCAGTCGATCACATAAAATGACCTATTTTTATTTCGATGAAGATGAACCCCTATATAAGGTACAACTGACGGCGAGCATATTGTCATACTCCATATGTGCATTGCATGTTTGCTGGAAGGCTTGTGTTGTGTATGGATTGAAGCAGTGTGATATAAAATTTGCTGTCATGTATACATGGGTTGCGCGTGACGTCATTTCCGGCTGGAAAATTGAGCTACCGTCATGTTTGTCAACATTGAGTCACGCTATTCAGGCTGCGCGGCAGCTTACCGCCGGTTGTGAGCTTGTTGGTGTCATTCATGCGATATGGCGAAAGGAAATGTGCCCGCGCTTTGCCCGTCGTACTTCGAAGAACTTGTTGGACCGACTCGTGTACGCTATAACGAGCGAAAATTGAAACGCGCGGTGGTATATCGACCCGTACGAACTGCGCACCGGTAAGAATGCTACACCGATCTGCTGTCTTCCATGAGACACGGCGACATCGTCAATTAGTGGTGCTTTCGACAAGTCACGTCACGCAAATGAAGGCCTGCAAGTCGGACGGCCACAACTATTACACCATGCAGTGGATGGCTGAAGAGCATAGCAGCAAAGCAGCTTCCATCACAGCGTGTCGTCGTTCTAGTCGAAGATAGTTAGGACGCTCTTTCCCGGTTGAAGTAAAACATCGGCTTCGACGGCATTTTGTAGTGAAGAGTGCGTACCCATGTTGCATCGTGGCGGGGGAAATTTTAACGCGATAGCGTTAGAGAGCTCGCGTCGCAGAAAACCCGCCGCCGGCGTCGGCCCCGCTGGTTGTCAGCGAAAAATCGTCTGCCCGTTTGTGGCTGAAAAATCAAGTTACCGATATAGCTGCCGGAGACCACTACTTGTCCACGCGTGGGCGCGCGATCACACTGAAAAACCCGCGCGTTCGAAGAAAAAAAATTGCTCAAGGTCACGAGGCGCGGTAGTTTTTTTGCCCTGCCACCCTTCCCTGCTCAGCTTCCCTGCTCAGCTTCCCTGCTCAGCTTCCAGCGCTTCCGTCGGGACGAGAGAAGAGATAACGCAATTGCAGCATGCGACAAACCTTTGTAACTCCACTCGCGCTGAATGAATTCTTAAAATTTTTGTGCCGTTGAATTCGTGAGGCAATAAGCTCTTCTAGTGAATTCATTCCATGGTTAGTTGAAAAAGTGTTTCAGGGCCCCTTTAACGCATTTTGTTCGACAGGTGTTACGACGAAAACGAGCTCATTTGGCGATAATAGCGCACACTGGTCCAATCTACTGTGTGTGTGTGTGTGTAACAAAACATATTATTAAGTATGCACTTAGCGGTTGAAGGGTGCACTAGAGGCCGGATTTCACTATCGCGTTCAACTCTTAAAGGTGAAGGGTCCCCTTAAAGGTGAAAGGTCCCCCAATTCTTTGTTGTTGTTTAGGAGGCCCCTTTTGCACGCTCCTGTCTACGCCCACGTTCAGACGTCACCGCAGTTGTGCTCATTTCCATAGTGCTGCAATCCTTGGTTTATTTTCCTCTCTTGAGCTATGGTTTCGTGGGATGTATACTGTTGATGGTTCATCACACTCTGGTACTGCGTCTGCGGCAGCCAGTTCGAGCGATGTTCCCGATTTTGTGGAATGGTGCCCGCTGCAAATGCATCCAGCGTGTTCGCTTTGTCGCTATTTAGAGCGGTGAAAGCTGCGCCGATGCTGCGGCAGTAGTCTGGTCATAACGGGCCTTAGCCAGGGAACTAGTAGGCTCGGTGCGCAGTCGCGGTTCAGACACGTTCGTTCATTTTGCACTGTTAACCTCAATTAAAAAGGCTAGACGCGCTATTCAAGCAGAAAAGGTCGGCTGTACATCGCTGTGAATCTAGGTGGCATTCCGGTGAAAGTGACGTGATCACGTAAGTACACAGTGGCAAACTTGGACATGAACTCGAAAATACCCTTACCTGTGATGAAGTGATGACCGCAGTTACGGATTGTGGTTTAACGTCCCCAAAACCACTATATGGATTATGAGACACGCCGTAGTTGAGGGCTCCGGCACTTCTGACCATCTGGGGTTTTTTAACATGCGCCTAAATTTAAGCATACGGGCCTCAAGCATTCTCGCCTCCTCCGAAAATGCGGCCGCCGAGGTCTGGAATCGATTCTGCGACCTGCGGGTCTGCAGCTGAGTGTCTTAACCACTAGACTACCGTGGCGGGTATCATTCTGCATTCAAAAACGGCACAAATAGTCATGGTGAAGCCGGTAGCGCGACTTAAGACCAGATTTCACAGCTGCAAAGCTCCCGACTATACGCTTCTACGCAGCTGCTTATGTTGACAAACATGGCGGTCCTCGGTCCTCTCGTTCTCCGATCTGGCGTACGTGCAACCCATGTATTGATCGGTCGTATCCGGTAGTGAGACTGTAGTGGAGGCCATCTTGAAGTAGTTGACGGGAGCTTTCTGATTGCAAGCCTGGACATGCTCATTAGGCATTTGCCTCAGACGCGCCAGAATGCTACTCAGCCGAGACCACTCGGACTCAAAGTAGTGTATCGGTTTAAATGGGTCTGCTTATCGGTGCAGTGCTGGAGGTGGGAAACATTTAATTACAATAGAGAGGCGTAGGACCTATTGAAAGGTCCATGCAGGCTAGGCGGAGTCTCTATTCCGGGACCCCATTGGTTGAAGCCTCCATCATCTATACAGTCCTCTACCACGAAATGCCTGCTTATAATATCGGTGATGTGCCAGGGCGCTAAAGGTTCTTCCGACTAACTGCTGCACTTTCAGTCGTTTGAGTTATTTTGTGATGTGCCAAGAGGCTCAGCGAATGAAGCGCCGCATGAATTATGTGGACATAAATAACATAAGTCAGCCATCTTTGCTTCGTGTGAAGGAAAATAGGGCGTAAACGTTTCTCGAGGCGCTGATCCAGGCTCACTCCTCATATATCTTACGCGTGCTATAATGCGGTTGGCGGCAGGAATGTTTTCAACTGTTTAAAAGTGTGGATATTACACCGACGTTGCGAAAAGCGTCGACAAGCTAAGCGGGCCGCCTCAGTTCGTACATATATATCGCTTGTAGCGCATTTTCTGTAGCGTTTTTTGTTTACAGAAATTGGCAATGGCCCAGGAGGCGCGAGAGCGGGCATCGGTAAAGTTGAGGCAACTTCATGAGGCTGGAAAATGGTTCACTTTTTTGGCCGATATCGTGCGATGCGCGGTGTGCAAGTAGGACCATCGACCTTTACCCAGACGCCTCCCCGAGCGGCACTATCATCCTACCACGGCTGCGCTCAACAGGCGTGATTCTGCCTCTCATTCCGACATCGCTTCCTTTTGACTCTTTGCATCCACTGCGGAGTTGATCTGCCTTAGGAATCGACCCATGCAGGGTTTGGGGTCGGGGAGAGGGAATAAACGCTGGAGTAAAACATGCCTCCCCCCTCCCCCCTCGATAAAGAATTTTGCGCATATATGCACGTGCTGATGCGAAGTTTTTCGTCGTGATGCAAGCTTACTAACACACTGGACTGCACGAAACGTTACGGTGCAATCTGTTCAGCAAGAAGCTACGATGTCGCCACCAGCGTGGCTTTTCGCAGAGCTCCGTCTCAAAATGTTTGTGAGGGAGCTCCCTGTTGTTAAATGTCGCAGGAGTTCACCGTGCATTGTTTTATTCGCGTTACATCTTTCGCAATCGGCGTCGACGTGACGCGAGCGTTAGTTTCATATAATACTGCCACCGTTGTCACTTTGCAAAGAAAAAAAACTGAAGTAATGTAATGAATAAAGTGAAAGTAAAATGTTGTATACTTTCATTCAAAAGCTACGCACTCATCCTGGCCGATTTCGTTTCAAGATGCAAGTAAAAGCTTGCTTTACAGACGACTAA